CATGGGCTCAACCCCAAGGCACCCCCTTCCCCGTGTCCTCGGGGCTGGGACATACACAGGCAGAGGGGTGAATGGAAGGCTCGAGACAGGGTGACCAGAGAGGACGCACCGTCTGCAGGCCTTGGTTTTTGTCCTTCCTGGTTGGAGTCAGGCCCAGCAGCACAGTGTGGTTGTTCAATGCCCAGACGCAGGTCCAGGCTGCAGGATGCAGGAGGTGGCTGAGCCCCAGAAGCCAGTGCTTACGTGCCCAGGGGCAATGCCACTCCAGGGAAACGCATCCCAGGCAGGAGGCAGGTGGCTTTCCCTGGGACCTGAGGCTGTCCTTCACAGGGAGAGGCTGGCCTGCCCTCTCGTGCATACACTTTTTAAAATACCAGCTGCTTCTTTTTTGGTATTGGAACCTGGAAACAGAGCCCATTAGGGCGAAAGGCTCATTATCCTCTTATTGATCTGAGATTTAATAAAGCAGCAATTATGAGTGATTTGAACAGGAGCCTGTTATCTCTCTGTGGTCCAAGCCTCTCAGGAGCATCTTGTTCCTGTACCTGCCACAGACACTATAGGTGCTTGAAGATGACCAAGAGATGGCAGGAACTGGCTGTGGGGTCCCCCAGGGACGTCTGGTAGTTGGAACACAGGGCTGTGCACACACGGGGGTGGGTGTGCCTTGTCATGCCGCCTTACTCACCCCCCATGGGGCTCCCAAAAGCAAGGGATGGAAGGAACATTCTAGAAACCCCTCCCACCACCTTGCCTGCCAAAGGTGGAATTGGAGGGGCTTTCTTCCCACCTGAAAACCACAGTCCTTATTGGAACCTGGGGAGCAAGCAGCACTGCACCCATCCTCTGTTGGGGAAGTAGGGGTTCCCCCAACCAGCAGGGACAAGCCACTGTCCCCCTTCCCCATTTCCTACCCCAGACTGGAGCTGACTGACAGCCTTTGAGCCCTTCTCCTCTGGAGGGTGACTGGTGCATGCTGTCCCTGTCCCCAGGCTGGGTGTCTGTGTTCCTGGGTCTAGGGGGGAGGACAGGACAGTTTTCAGTCCCTCTTTCCTCGTCCTTCCCTGCCCCCAACAGCATAGCTATGTGATCAATCAGAGAGTATTTACCAAGATCATGTGCACCCTGATCCTTCAGAATCCTGCTTGCTCGTCACACCCGTGATGCAGCCAAGCACCCCGTCAGCCTGGGCAGGGTGAATTCCAAGCCATTGTGCATAACTAGGGCCACAGTGAGGCCTGGCCCCGCCCTGTTCCTCAGTGTCCCTAACACAAGGCTGTGCTCCTCAGGGTGACCCACAGGTGATAGTCACATGGACTAAGGAATAGGCTTTCAGGGAAGAGGCAGATGGGTGGAATGGAACTGCTGCTTTGTGGAGTCCTGCATGCTAAGGCCGAGGGTCCTGCAGCCCTGCACCACCCAGCAGAACTTCCAGCCAGATATAAGTGTCCTATTTCTGTGCGGTCCTATATGTGGCCACCAGCTAGGTGTGGCAGTTGAGTACCTGAAAAGATCGTAGTGCCACTGAGGATCGTAGTGCCATTTTGTTTCGTTGAAGTGTATTTTTTTTTTTTTAATTCCAGAGTTCAATCCCAATGTCTCCCACAGGGTAGGCAAGTGTTCTACCACTCAGCTACACCCTCAGCCCCTAATTACACTTTAAACATCCACCTGTGGCTGGTGGCTACTGCAATAGATAGCAGAAGGCTAGAGGAGAATCATGCAAGGTTATAGAACAGGGTGTGATGGGGGGTGTCACTAATCACAACAGGGACTGATGTTTATTGCTGGTTGCTTTTCATGCGTGTCTAAGTGAATTCTCAAAGCAATCCTAGAGGATAAACATTATCCCACTTTACAGATCAGAACAACTGAGGCTTAGAGAGGTTTTCTTGAGTAGTTTACCCAGGCCTGCCCCTCCTAAAGCCTGTGTTACAGGCACCATGCTACACTGCCTCAGCTTGAGCTAACATGACATTGTTGACAGAGTTCACGGTATGGGGGTTAGAGCACCAAGGAGGACTGGGGACTCTTAATAACTCCAGGATTGAGAGATAATGCACCCAATTCTAGAGCTTCCAACATGCAAAAGCAGAAAGAAGGGCCCAGTGATGATGGGGGTGGGGGGCTGCTAGGGACTGCATGTTTGTGTCCCCTCAAACCCCTGTGTTGATGCCCTCTCCTCCTAGGGGATGATATTTGGAGGTGAGACCTTTGGGAGGTAATTAGGGTTAGATGAGGTCACAAGGATTCTACCTGAGCAGAGCCAACTCCCTGATTGCCCTGGTGCCTTTGTAAGAAGAGACCAGAGTCTCCTCTCCTCTCCTTCCACCACGTGAGGACACAGTAAAAAGACCACTGTCTATAAACCAAGAGGGGGGCCCTCTCCAGCACCCATCATGTGGACAGCCTGATCTGGGTGAGGAAGAAGTTTCTGTTGTCCCAGTCATCCCATCTAGGGCAGTTTTGTCAGAGCAGACTGCACTTAAGACAGGGCCAGGACTGCACGGTGCCCTCCCCTTGGCTGTATGGCTGGGGGAAGGAGGTGACCACGCTGTGCAGAAGCCCCAGGGATGTTGGTGGAGGAGCTTCTGGGCCTGGACTTCCTGTCTCCTAGAAACCTCTCTCTTCCTCCTGAGCGATAGTTAGCTCAGGAGAGAGCCAGCTCTTTGGCCTAGAACCAGCACTGGGGAGTGTATGAGCTTCTGCTGGCTGCGCCTACATGCCCAGTGAAGTCTTTGTCCCAGGGTCATTCTGTGTCCCTTCTCTGCCCGGTCATTTGAGAGCCATCAGCCACATCCTTAGGTACAAGCCTGAGCAGAACCCTGATTGCCGTGGGCACTGACTTCTGGGAGGGGAGAGCATGATGGTTCCCCTGAGCGCTGAGAAAATATCCTGCTTTGCCATTAACTAGCTGGGAACTGAAGCAGTTGGTGACATTGCTGGCCTCCATTTCTCCATCTGTACAATGGGAACTGTAACTCTCCCTTCATACGTCATGTCCAGGGTCCCCGCGCCTTTCACACACACATATTTGGCAGCCATCGGTGTCTTATTCTCACCTGATTCTCAAGGTCTCATTCGGCAGCCTTGGGGGAGCCTCACAGAGTTTAGGGTGAGCCGTCAGCAAAACCCCTAAGAATGCAGCAGGAAAGTCTGGCCTCTCTGAGGGCCATTTTGCACACATGCCCTCTGTATAGGGGATCGTGGAAATTAGCAAGGAAAACAAAGCCACTAGGTTTCAGCCCCTGCGTCCCCTCTCCTAAGAGAGGTCCAGGTTGCAGCCTGAGGCCCACCTTGACTGATGGGGGACCCTGCCCTAGAGGCATCAGGATTGAGGATGAGAGGAGGAGGGGTAAAGAGAGGCAGCCCTCAAGGGAAGGTCGGGGATGGCAGCTGGGGGTCCAGGGAGACAGGCTGCTGGTCTGTGGAGAGACTCACCTCCAGCCTGGCAAAGATCCGACACTCAGGGCTGACAGAGGTGGCCATCCCCACCCCTTTCAAGAATCCTGATGGCTCAGAGGGCAAGAAAATAGCAGCAGACAGTGCCCAGGAGACCCTCCCAGATGTGCCGGACCACCACAGACCCTCAGCCTGGGACCTTCCTGAGAGCTGGGGAGGGGCCCTGTGATGACTGGGACCTGAGAAGGGCTTCTCTGCCTCTTCCCATCCCTTCTCTGAGAGGGATGGGCGCTTGGAGCCAATTCTGTTTTATTTGGAAAAAGAAAAGAAAAGAGAAGTGACGTATCTCACACCTGAGCTTGGGATGGTAGCCAGTCCGTGCCCCCACCAGTGTGTCACAGCCTGTCTTCCGAGTGCAGACTCTCTCCTCTCCTCTCCTGCAGCGCCCAGGCTCAGCCACCCAATCAGGCTGGTGACACACGCTTTGGGAAGCCAAGTTGGTGACATTTCCCTCTCCGCGGAGAGGTGCACTCCTTGCTCAGTTGGCAGCCTGCAGCAAAGGCCAAGTAACAGATCCAGCCTTCCCTTGCCTGGTGCGGGGGGGTGGGGGGGTGGGAGGGACTGGGGAAAGCCCCCTCCTCTGCAGGCACCGGAGGCCCCGAGTCCCCTGAGAAGGAGCCACCGTCACCATCACCATCGCTGAATCATGCCCGGGGTGGGCTGGGAACCAGTCTCAGCCCCAACAAATCCACCTCTGCCTCCCTGTGTGTTTATTCTGGCCTTCTCAGTATTGCTGGTTGCCGTGCCTCTAGGGGAAGCAAAATATGTATTTAGACGTTACGTGCTTAAACAACTCTGGAGAAGGAAAAAACACTGGGATCGGAGTTCTGGCTATTTCTGCATCCTGAGGAAATGATATCATGGCTCCAGAGTCAGTCCCCAACCCAGTCCCAATTCGCCGCAGGATGTTGGGCAAATTCTCAGATTCCTCCATAGCCCGGATGCCTCACCTGTAAAGTGGGCCTTGTGTGCTTGCACAGGGGGGTCTTGGGATCGTTTTGGGGAGAGGGCTTGGCATTAAGTACACGCTCAAGCTTCAGTGGGGTCCTCTAACCTGACAGGCAGGTGTGTGAGCTTTTTGCATGGTTATGTACAAACAGGTATCTTCTGTGCTGGATGACATTCTTCCCGCCCACCTGTCCAGGTAGCCAGCAGCACATGCTGTGTGAAGGCCGCACCACATTCTGTTGTGTTTGCCTGGTTCTTCCCCTGGTACTGGGCGTTTGGGTTATTTCCAGTTCTTTGCCGCTGAAAATGATGTAGCTGTGAATATCAGCAGATTTATTTTTTTTAATGAGGTCCTAATAGAATATAATTATGGGGGTAGAATCAAGGCACGGACGGCATACCTCCACTGAGCCTCAGAGCCAAGCGAAGGTGTCCGTGCCTCTTGGATGATCTGTCCTTGTATCCCGAAGCAAAATCCATCATCCCTGGGAAGATGCCGAGGTGACTCTTGTTTCTGGTTGTCCCAGCCCCTCCTCACCCGAGGGGGAACACGCTGAAGTATTAACACCCCTGTGTCCTCTCTCTTGTAGAAAGTCTGCACCAAATGTGGGATCGAGACCTCCCCTGGCCAGAAGCGGCCCCTGTGGCTGTGTAAGATCTGCAGTGAGCAAAGAGAGGTAGGGCCCTTGGGGCAGCAGGGTCTGGGCACACTCACATGTTAGGCTACATGGTGGGTCGCCGGCAGGAGCCTCTCTGGAGGTCAAGGAGGGACCATCCAGGGGTGTCCAGAGGAGAAGGATGCAGAGGGACAACAAGCTTGGCCTACCACCTCCATACAGAGATGGCAGCAGGCCCCGGTTCTGCTCTTGTGGAGTCTACAGTTTCAGTGGCATGTGGCATTTGTGCGGGGGGGGGGGGGGGGGGGGGGGTGGGGGGGGGGGGGGGGGGGGGGGGGGGGGGGGGGGGGGGGCTGTAATTGTAGTTATCCATGTTGCACATTTACTCAGTTCTTGGCCCTGTGCTAATAAGTTCCTTAGGTTTATTCATTCATTTCCTCCTTGTTCAACCCCATCAGTGGCCACTGTTCTTATCCTTTTTTCCTGGTGGAGAAATAGAGACACAAGTGGCTAAGTGACTTGTGGACACTGAGTTGGGGGAGGAGCATGGAGTTGGGAACCAAGCGTAGCCAGGGCCTGCTGCAGTGTGCCACCTCCCCCCCCCAAGTCCTTTCTGGGGCTAGGGTTGTGTCATTTCAGTTCTGACCCCATTTCAGGGGAGGAAATTGAGGATGCTGAGGCAGTATCTGGCAGGGAGGTAATGGGGGTCCCTAGAACTGCATCTCCCAGCCCCAAGCCCAGGGGCTTTCCTCACTGCACCAAGATCAGGATGGAGTAGCAACAGCAGGACTACACAGGTGGCTTCTGGGGAAGGCCATGGGGAGGCAGAACGGGGATGGAAGGAGCCTGGCCAAGGGAGCATGTCCCTGGCTTTCCAGATATGGGTTTGTCTTCTTATTGATCTGACTTGGCACTTGGTATGTGCTTATCATCTGAGGATCCATAAAATATTCTCAGTTCTGGAAAATTCTCGTTCATAGCTTCTTTGACTATTGCTGCTCTGCCATTTCGTCTCTCTCCTGACGATCATATCTTTGGCAGCTTCTCATCATGGCCAGATCCCTCTGTTCTGCTGCCCACTGTGGATCTCCCTGACCCTCAGCCTCCTCTCCCAGGTGCAGAGCCTCCTCACCAGCCCCATTTTTAGTGACTTGGCCCTGGTCCCCCACCTCTCCTGGGACACGTTAGTCCCCATATCTTAGAAGAACCATCTCCCAGCGGCCTCCACCCGCTTCTGGGTCTGGCACTCTGCCAACTGAGCCTTGGCTTCACAAGATGCATTGAGAGAGAGATCTTGGTGTTGAATGCATGTAATTTTCCTTTTTGTTGTTTTTAAAATATTTCCATCTGTCGTTGCTGCATGTTGGGAAGAGAGAAGGCGATGGGCAGAGCCTTGGGGAGTGAACTAGTACTTGGCCTTGCCTGGTGGTCCCTGTGCCTCATCCCCAGATGGTGATGATAATGCCCAGTTCACGGAGATGCTGCAAGAATTCAGCAAGATCTTTAAAGGGTGCAAAATGTCTGGCACTCCTTAAATATTAGAAACTTCTCTTCTGCCCCAGCCAGAAAGTCCCTGGGTCTCTGGGTCTCCAGTGGGCCCCTTTCAACTTTCTGATAGTCAGTATCCTCCAGGGAAGAAATCCCTTCACACAGGACCTTGAGGGGAGACACTTTTACAGGATGCAATGATGGTCTCAAATGAGCCATGGGAGGTCAGAGGTCAAGGAAAAGAAAGTGGAGAAGGAAAGATGAATTTTGCAAACTTAATCAGCTAGCGGAGGCTGCTGCCCTGTCCGGCCACATCACGAGTTACCTCCATACTCCTTAATAGTCCTGACCTACCACATGCAGGGAGGGCCCAGCCCATCCTAATCTCCAGAGCGCTCCAGGGCCCAGAAAAGTCCAAAATAGCTTAGGATGAATTTTCTTATCTTTCCTAAGGCAAAGAATATGAGGTTATGCATTAGGCTATCAGTTTGTCCTTGAATTTTTAGAAGCCAATAAAACTTCGCAAGATCAAGAATGTTCGCTGTCCTCAGCGTCACCCATTCTGTGGACACACAGTAGGTAGGAATGGGGCGGCGGACGTGCTGATGGTCTGTGTCCCATGGGGACCACATCCCGGTGCTGAGTTTCCTGTGTGCTTTTGGGGTGGGAAGAGAGGCAGGGTGAAAGGTTTCCTAATGCCTTTTCTTTTCCTTAGAAAAATATCTAATCATAACAAAGAGATAGCATCCTAGGGCATTTGAAAATGTCTGATCTGAAGCACCACATAGAGCTGGTTCTGAGACTCTGATAAGAATGTGGTGTTCTGTCTCCTGGCGAAAGCCAAATCCTAATGGAAGAACTTGGGTTTTCTGATGGAAACTCTTGTTCCACTCTGCCCAGCACTCTAATCTGCCTTTCCTTTTGGTGCTTCACTTCCATCATCTCTTGCTATAATTGGAAGTAGTTTTTTTCTGGAGTGAGTCAAATGCAGGTCAAATGTTCCTGGGACTGTCGGGCTGGCGTTGCTGCCTGTTTTATGCACCCGAATGATGCAGCAATGTGAGCCTCAGTCCCTCTGCTCTTGAGGAGTTTATAATCCAATGTGTTTATTCGTTCAGGCAGTCAATATATATTTATTGAGCATCTTCTATGTGCCAGGCAAAGTAGCTCTTCTAATGGGAGAGGGAGAAAACATGCAGAGTCAAGTAAATGCTGTAACCTCACGGGGGACAATAAAGTGCTCAGGGGAAAGGGGGTGTTGAGAGCAGTAGTATGAGTGCTGTTTTACATGGGGGTCACAGAGGAGCTCACCGATAAAAAGACATTTGAGCAGAGATCTGAAACACATTCTGTGGATATGGGGAGAGGGAACATTGCAAGTAGAGGGTACAGCAAATGCAAAGGTTTGTGCTTAGTGGCTTTGAGCAGCAACAAGGAGTCCAGCATAACTGGAGTGACATCAAGGTTGGGAGAGGTTGGTCAGAGATGTGGGAGGAGATCAGATCAGAGTGGTCCTTGCAGACCATTGTAAGCACTTTGGCTTTTGTAGTCCGTGAGATGAGGAGCATTTGGAGAGTCTCAGGTAGAGGAGGGATGTGATCTCTCTCTCTACACTCTTAAAGAACACTCTTTCTGCTGTGTTGAGAATAAACTATAGGTTGTCATGTCAGAGCATAGCATCCTATTTTATTTTTCATATTAAATGTTGCTCGGGTATCTAAGATTTTTATCAGTTGCTACTCTTGTTGGAAGCTTTCATTTTACTAAAAGTATACATTTTAGTCTTTTCTGAAATTAATATGGATCACCAAGGAACCTTTATAATGTATAGAAAAGCAAAATACACACTAAAAATATCTATCATCTTACTATCCAAAGAAACTGCTGTCAATGTTTTGGCATGTTTACCTTTTTTTCTGTGCTTTTCTTGTTTATATTGTTGAACCTGTGTTTTATTTTTTATTTTTTTAATTATTATTATTATTTTTTAATATTTACTTTTTTTAGTTTTCAGCGGACACAACATCTTTGTTTGTATGTGGTGCTGAGAATCGAACCCGGGCCGCATGCATGCCAGGCAAGCGTGCTACCGCTTGAGCCACATCCCCAGCCCCTGAACCTGTGTTTTAAAATCCACATTGGATCTTAAGTATTTCCCAGTGTGATCAATAACTCCTGGTAAACATTCTCAATGACAGTCTGTCATATGACTCTTCTAATTTAGGGCATTTGTTTCCATTTCTTTCTCTTATTAGTATCTGTATGTATAACTTTTTGCATGCATTTTATTTAATTGAATTCCTTAATGTATTTATTGTGCAGTCTGGGGATGGCACCCAGGGCCTGGTGCATCTTAGGCAAGTATTCTACACTGAGCGACACCCCCAGCCCTTTGCCTACATTTTAGATTATAGCCTCTGGATGAATTCCTAGGGTTCACTTGCCCCCTTTTCTTATAGACCCTGGAGCTTTGTTATGGTTTTTATTGAACTCATAGGTAGCTGATGTGTAATTTGATGCAATTTTTAAAAATAAGGGCACATAGATGGTGTGTTTCCTGGGTCCTTTGCCGCCATGTGATCATTGTTGCCTTTCTACATAAAGGACAAGTTGATAGTACAATTGTTCAGAATCTTTCCCACTCAATCTCTGTACTTGGCCTACCAACCACGTGAAGAACCATCATCAGGAAGAGGTGGCAACTAGGGGAAGTGGTCTCCAGGGAAGGGGAGCAGGGAAACCTGTGAAGAGACTAGAGAGAAGGGTTTTTTAAATTAGTTAATTAACTAAAAAATATAAAAGAAGGAATAGAAACCTCACTGAACAAACAGAACCTTTGCAAAAAGTACAGGCAAATTTGAAAAAGAGCCAAAAGAGTCATTTTTCTTTTTAAAAATAAAAAATATTATTGGGCTGGGGTTGTAGCTCAGTGGTAGAGCACTTGCCTAGCATGTGCAGGGCACTGGGTTCGATTCTTAGCACCATATATAAATAAGTAAAGTAAAGGTCCATTGGCAATTAAAAAATATCTTTAAAATATTATTAATGAATTATGAAACTCACTTGAACTACATACTTCAATCATTTCTTAGATCATCAAACCTTGTCATTCTCATTACTGGCTACAGGCATTGCCTTATTATTTGCTGCTTCTTTTTTTTTAAAGATGGACACAATATCTTTATTTATTTTATTTATTTTTATGTGATGCTGAGGATCAAACCCAGTGCCTCACATGTGTAAGGCAAACTCTCTACCGCTGAGCTATAACCCCTGTACTCATTTGCTTCTCACCAATTTTTTTTTTTTTTTTTTTTTTTTTGATTCCTGTGTGGTGCTCCCAACTATCTTGCCCGTGATTTCCTTGATCCCAGCTGTCAAGAATACTACCCAGGGCTGGGGCTGGGGCTCAGTGGTGGAGCACTTGCCTAGCATGCACAAGGCCCTGGGTTCCATCCCCAGGTCTACAAAACAAAAATCAAACAAAAAAGAACACAATGCATTTGTGACCCCACCAAACTCCATTTGCCTAATTAGCTGCTTGGCTTTTAAAAACTATCCATCTACACCCG